TTCCGTAACACGCACACCACCTTTGCTTAATGGGCTGTAGACTGGCTACAAAGTCTGACAAAAAATAAAGAAGACTTGCGAATCAAAACGAACCGTTGATGCGTGTGCTTCGAAGCCACTACATACTCTTCGAAACGTGCAACAGTTAATGTTTGAAATCAGTACAAATGGTTTAAAGGGTTGAAACACAACCGCTTCTCTTAATACCTTACTTATTGGTTACAAGGACTACATATCGATATCTGTGACGATAGTGAGGTGAATTTTTTTCGTCAAATTACGAAAGCACAAATTTCTAACGGTTCCTCAGCCAGTTATTGGTAAAAGCAAAAAGTATGAGCCGCGATAAAGGGTAGTGTGAAATTTCCGGAAGCCATAAAATGTAGGTATGGACTGGAAACTGCGGTCATCACTGCAAGCTTTCAGTTGATTACTGACAGAATCGGATCTGCCCTTAGCAACACCGATAGTTTCTCGAAGAAGCAGCAACTGTCGCCTTTGTTTTGTTGTGGAAAAACACGGTAAGGCGTTCTGCAGATCACAGACTAACTGGCGACTTCAACCCGAAATATGACTGGAAGCAAAAATTTCATCTTGGTGAAGCACTGGAGATCTTTACCTCTTGAAACCAAGTAGAACATATTGCAGTAATCCTTGGAAATTCTTCTCAAGCAATCAGTTTAAGTAAGCGAGATTGATGAACAGCGCTTCGATCGTGTCAGTATAGTGGAATTTATGTTTCAAATACAAAAGAAATTTAGAATAAGTCCATGTGAATTAGTACTTAATTTGAAAAGCACTTACCACAAAGGCAATGCATGTCGAGATGCGGCAATGCCACGATCTCCTCCAATGTGGGTGGGGCCAAAATTGGAAACAATGTCTGGTCCTGTACGTAGACGTTGCGCTGAAAATCGCTGAAACTTAGAGACTTCGAAATTAAGCGAAATTCCGAGAAAAACAAGAGAGAAAAAATATATCGACTGGTACCGATCTCAAATATAAGTAACACTCAGACTTAGAAACAACGAAATCGTAGATGAAATGGCTTAACACTTGCTGTACGGGACAAGGTAGGTTAAAACATAGTGACACATAACAGCCATCGCAACTCTTTGAGAAGGCGTGCGAGTAGACGAAACACGTATAAAATTAGGATTGATAAAAACAAAAATTTATGTGTGAGCTTTTCCTAACGAACTCACTACATTTAAAACGTTTGTTTGAATTTTGCGCTCGATCCTTACAAGGTAATTGCGATATTCTTCTTTTGTTTTGACTTTTTCTATCATAGGCTAGTAAAGAGCAGAGTGGTTAGTCACGATGGCCGTCAGGAAACGGGCTCTGGCTCGACCCCACCCACAGCGCTCTCTTGTAGTCACTTGGAAACGCTTTGGATCGGTTGTCTCGAAAATTGCAACGAGGATCGAATCGAACAGCATTCTAGAACGTTCATGAAAACGAGAAAATCCTCAAGCAGTAGGCTAAACGACATGCGAATTTTTGGAAGACTACAAGACGGTGAATGTTAGGAAACGAAGTGAATGCAAGAAGAGTTGGGATTTTCATAGTGAATGTGACGACGGGTCATGCAGATTAGGTAAATAAGAAATTGATAAAGCTCTCGGCGTTGACTAATCTCTGACGGATACGCCATGCACTCCTCTTCAATTTTCAAATTTGCTTAAGGTGATTGAATGTATACTGGCCTTTACAATGACTCGCGGTGGCGGCCTCCCGCTGCATCGACTCAGTGCTGCTTATCTTCCTAGACAAGTCTAGGACAAGTCTAGTACACATCGACCTTGTAGTCGATGCAGAGCACCTCTAAGCACTGGCCACATGCCCTCTATATAAACACTTAATATTGATATTCGCATGTAGCTTTGTGATCCGTTTCGTCTATTCTTAAAGTAACCTGCTTGCAATGACAAGAGTTTTTGTGACTCTGTACACCATTCATGTACCCACGGAGAAGGCTGTTCATTCAGAAATAATTTCTTCGCAAATTTAGAGTTACTTATTGGGCGAGCCGGTTATGTGGCCAGAATAGTGTATGACAAATTCAAGAAAAAATGATGAAGTGGTTCTTAGAAGCACTCAACTATTGACCGAAAAAATCAACTTTAACAGCCGTTAATGCTCTTTGTTCTCTTTGCTGATGGTAAGATCTGGTGCTAGAAAATGTAGTTCAAAAACATTAAGATGGACGAAAATGAGCATTAATATAGATCAAGAAGAAATTAAAAATGAAAAAAGAATAAAGGTCTTGGCGTTGCCATGCATTCGACCTTATCAGATATCGTTTTAAGTGCTTGAATGGAGATCTGTTCTTTACAATCAATGTGGTGCTCTATGAATGTATCAAGTCAGTGCTGATATCCTCTCAAGAAATTCTGGTACCAATTCGCCGACTACGGAGATGGAAGGTTTGGTGAGCCAAGGCGCGGGAATCAAACCATTTACCCCCCCGCGTCTATCAGTGTCCTACGAACCTACCTTCATTCAACCTCCGCAAAAGTCAGAAGTAATCATTACTTTTCAGAACTACTGACTTAACGCGAGATCAGTGTAGAAAATAGTTTTGTGGCCAACACCTCGCAAATTTTTTTCTACTTCATAGTGGAAATAATCCGAGTCGATCATACATAGGCGCTCGTCCTTACAATGTGGGTCCTCGTTGTCACATCGAATCAAATCGGAAAGAGATCAGCTTTCTCTTTCCATCAAATATAACAATACATCAAATAAGTATAAAGAGAGAGGTTATTCGAGCGGTGCTGCACTTCACTGGATTCAAGTCAATGCAAACACTTACAGCGCAGGACGACCACCTGTGAATCATCGACTCCGACGAATCTGACTGTAGCTACCTTCCATTATCTCAATAATTTTTGGGAATGTAAGCACTCGTATTACCAAAAATGAAGAAAAATTTGTTGAACGTTCGAATGTTTTGATTTCATTTAAATGGAAGCCTATCTTTTAAGGTACTATCATGTAAGTGCCTGATTATGCCAGTGACAAAATATCCTTGGAAACTTGTATGAGATTTTGTAACTATGAGAGTCACTGAGAGTTTGATGATGCAATATTTTGCCAAAAAAACCGATTTTTCTACCGAAAACTTAGTTCCTCTCCAGAAAGAAGATCGCATCAACCGCTGCATAAACGAACGTTTGCTGGCATAGAAGTACGAAAACAAGAGAACCTTGTACCATTGACGAAATGCCACTCCGAATGAGTCATTTAGTATAAAAAGTTCTAGAAATCTATCCCGTAAATTTTTATTTCCTTGGATACACCGGAAAAAGCGCTTTAAAAACTTTCACATTCTTTTAAGTGAAACTGGAGATAATTTATGGGAGAATAAATCTCAAGGTATTGCATGTAGTTATAGAGAGAGATCGTTATCTGTCTTTGAAAGGACTGTAGAGAGTGGGATCGATAAGGCATTGTTATCTAGTATAAAAAGTTCTGGAAATCAACTTTTATCTATTTATAGCATGAATAGTCAACAACATTTTGGCCTGTTCAGATGCATACATGATGTTGTTGTAAAACTTTCACTCGCAACGTTTTAACGGCACCTTCGCCTTCTTCAGGGTCGAAATGATTCGAGTTTCCACAGCCGTTCGTCCTTGCGATGTGGATCCTTGTGTTCACATCGAGTCGATATGAACATAGACATCGCTAGAAAAACAACCAAGTGGATCCTTGGCTCGAATCTCGGCATTGATGGGAGCGATGTTAACGAGGAGTTATTCATGATGAAGATTCCTTTCTACTTCGGATGGGCTTATCAGGTAGCAAGACAAAAGAAAAACTCTCTGGACTGAAAGCAACGAAAAGATCCCAGAGCAAGGTTTTTGATAACTTATCAACTCATGCATCTATGAATGATCTCCAGTTATTTCTGCATACATTGGGGTCATGAGAGCTTTGACCTATAGGATAATAGGGAGATATGCTGCCAGCTTCGACTCGCCGCGCACGGCATCACTAACCATTGAGCATTAAGCGCTGCGGACTGCTCGCCGCGCGCGGAGAGCCGCTCTGGTGGCGTGTCCCTGTCGTACTCATTGACTCAAGAGTAATATGTACAAAGTGTTGTTATGGCTTCGCTGACAAAAACATTTCGTACTTGACAGTTGTAGAGCAAGAGATGGCACTCGAGTTCAAGTTCCGACTCCCGTCGCTTTGAGCCACTCTCAAGATGCGATAGCGACTCTATGCGCGACTAGCTTCAACACTATTTGAAAAAACAGGAAAATGTTGGTAAAAATACAGTCAATGAACTTGCTCAAGTAGAGTGTTTTTTACAGTTCTCTAAGTGGAGATTTAGACATTTTCTGCCAACATCCAACGCTACATTTGTGCTGGATAAACTGGACGAAGATTACTATGAATATAGCAAAATCTTCCGTGCGTAAAAAGACTAATCGAAGAAAGCGATTTTAATATGGCTTACACCTACTATTCGTCATCAACGTATGGACACTGTAGTATTCATGTCGCTGTGATGATAATTATCGTGGCAAATTGGTCTTCAGAGTGACAGAAGACGTGCTTCTGCTACTGACAACGGTGAAATGAAAGCTTCCCATAAGCAGATAATAGGAAAATTATCCGAGAACTTCCAGAAATACTCGTTATAAAAGTTTTTGTGGACAATTTGAATGAAGCCGAATGGTCGAAGAATTCAAACAAATGGTTGCCACACGAGTTGAATAACAATCAAAGAAATTGCTGTTTTGAAGTGTTTCAACGCTTCTTATGCGCAACCAGAATGACCTGTTTCTTGACCGTTGTGTGATTTACGACAAGAGTGGATCCTCTTCAACAACTGGTGGAGATCGGCTTAGATGTTGGGTGGCCATAAAGCTCTATAGCAGTTGTCAAGACTGAAATTGTACTAAAAGGTCCTGCTGACCGTTTGCTAGTTTACAGATGGTGAACTCATCACACAAGCCTAACAAAATTGAGTGGTAAGCAAAACATCGACCTCGGACAGGAGTTGAGCCCGCGTTTCATCCGTAGCGGGAACTCGTGCTACCACTACACCACAGAGGGTGACCGCTTATTCACCACTCATTCTTCAATATCTCTCCGTCATAGCTATCAGTCACCAACCATTCACAGGGTTGGTCGGGTAAGTAATATCGAGAACTATAATAGAGATACTGAAGAATGAGTGGTGAGTAAGAGGTGGGTTCGGTGGCGTAATGGTGGCACGCATCCCCGTTATGGATGGAACGCGGGTTCAACTCCCTGAGGTCGATGTTTCGATTGCCACTCAATTTTCTTAGGCTTATTTGAGATGTCATAACACTGCGAAAAAGCAGTAAAACCATAAGAAATCTTAGAATGACCACAGTTACCCGTATCCAGATGAAACGATTAACGCGGAATGTAAATCCAGTAAGTCCACTTAATCCATTGGAAACATAAACGACATGCCCATCCGTGCTCAACAGAAGGGCACCACCTGTCTCCCCCTTTGTAACGTGCAACACACGTCGCACCACTAAAGTTACAAAACATGAACGATCTCGGTTACAAAACCCTGCCCCATCCAGCACAACTGTCAGATCTCTCTCAAAATGAAAGCTAATTTTCTAAGCATCTCGATAAAATCTTTTGCGAGAAATGGCTTAGAGACAAGGTCGAGACCGATTATGTCTTCATCGGTTTTAGCCTCCGAAATATGAGAGTTATAAACAAGTAAGACAGACTTGTTGTTTCTGGCAAAAACCTGCAGCTCTATTGGTTCTTTCTATCATTAAAGCTTACTTTGAGCTAAGAGATGCGAAATGCCAGTTTGGAAATTCCGGCTGAAAAGCGCAATCATGTTTGAGACAATTTAGAATCTATAGCTTTGACAGAAAATCATAATAATGGCTTTTGAAAGCAATCATTCGAAACCCTCAAATCCTTTGTAAGCACTATTTTCATTTTATGAACCAAAGAATAGAAGTGATTCAAGAAATTAGTCCGACGCGTCAAAATTAATATAATTTAAGAACTTGATTCATGCGCCAGGCATTCGCGCAGCGATTATTTGTTCTCCAGTGTGTTCAATTCCGATCAACCTGACACACCATTCTCATGACCGACTATTAGTTAACTTCGGCATTGATTGAAAACTTCGTTGTTTTCCTTATTCAGAAAGTACGAGGTTGTTAATTTGAAGATTTACTCGGTACATCTTGTACAAGATTGAAAAGAATTGTGAATTGAATTGTATCTTCCATTGCGACTTCCCACTACCTGTGCAAAAACATATACGAAGAAAACATAGTGAAAGTTGGAGATGCGCAGTTTGAATATAAAACTGTTTCATCTACACCCGTTCAAATATTTTAAGGAGCGAACGGTATGTTACAGCAAAGTCACCACCCCGAAATTCTCAATAATGGAGGCGTTTCCGATTACGATGTTGAGTTATCAGAGATATTTAACCATTTACAAGTTTGTAAATGAGCCAATAAACGACAGCAACGCTGTTATTGAACAAATAGTAAAAAAATCTCTTACAACGAATTGACCGAACCAAGATGCACCGTGTTATTGATGAGGTTAGAAGACCTAAACGTACGTCTACAACTAGGAGTGCGGTAAGAGACCCCATGAAAGGCTTGAAATATGCTGTCAGGATCTACTAAATTTTGAGGAGTCTTTAAAACAATCGAATATAAAGGTAAAAAATTTACTGAGTGAACAACCGAAGTACGATAAAACAATGGATGTTCTAAAGACTAATCAGTGAACTAATTAGACATCAGGACACCATTGTAACAAAATACTTTTAGAACATTGCACTGCATTGTATTATTGTTCAATCAAACGGTTAGAAGGATCTCCCGTGAAATTAAACTGCACATAACGTTATCGGAAGTAATGAGATCTACAGAAGCAGAATTCAGGACGCAATGATTGGATTTTGAGATTTCTCATATCACCATCGTCCTACATTACAGCCAATTAAGATCTCAGAGATTTTGTCGTGAGATTTGTCAAAGATAAAACCTACGCTGCTGTCGTCCGATTATAACTTTATACCTCTGAGATTTAGAAAAAATAACCTAATAAAGATGAACATAGTAAATTCGTCAGGAAGGTCAATGATGGAAATGAAGGGTCTCAGGCGAAAATAATGAACTGTCAGTGGAACTTTTGCAAATTGTAGACCATATGGTCCGTTCTGGGCAACGCCCGTGTCTAAATCGAAGTGATTTATGTTGAATTTATTCAAATCTGTGGGAAAAAGCTTAAAAGGCATTGATTTAGAATTTCACTTAATAACTATCAGCATCTTGAATTTTTATTGATCTTTCGAACGTCGGTTGTTCAGTATGGGCGTACCATCACTGATTGTATTCGGTATCTGAGCACTATCAGAAATCACAACTCACAGGAATTCAGTTACTAGAACATTTGGAACTAATGCACGACCCAGCCTATAGCAAAACACTGTCCCCGATTTACAAACTATGCACAGAAATACACAAAACGTTATCTATTGTTGGGAGATACAGCGCTTGAGAATGCTTATGGTACAGTGATTAGGGCTGCTCTGCTTCACGCCTGTGGTCAGTGGTGTGATCCCTCGTCAAAAGCTCACCAAGCTTTCCGTCTTCTCGGAAGTCTGTGAAATGGTAGCGGGCTTGTGTGGGAAGACAGCAGTTTTGTCTCTATACATCGAAGGACACCGCAAACTATTGTAAAGGTTAGGTATCCTCAAAGCTGCCTGATAAAATTCAATGTATGGCACATTCCTTAAAGGCTGATCAACGCCATGAGCTTCAAAGCTAACGCAGTAGTATACTAAAGTTCGTAAATTCACTTTCTGCTCTCTAAGGAAATATAACAAGCTAATTTACCTGACCCGCTTAAAGTGAACACAATGCCGAAACTTACAGAAAGAAACTGCGGCCCTTTTCCTTCAGTTCGTCACCACCTTTGGAATAACAATGCCACTCAAAAGTCAACACCACAGAAACGTGTTGCGAAGACTCCCGCAGGTTTTTCAAAAAATCGACCTATTAATTTTCGACTTTAAGGCTAAACCAAGTTCAGTCTGTTTTTGGTCCACGAAAACTTATTGTTCCAGAGATGTGGTGGAGGTAAATTTTGAACTAGTAGACTGATCAGACATAAATGTCCATGTCGTATTCGGAACATTTTGAAAATTTCAAAATACAAAAAAAGACTCTTCACTAAATTCGAGATGACCATTTGCTGAACAACAAACTATGAAGATGGCTATCTGCTACCTGACAAAGTTCTAGATAAGGATTTCTGAGCGAAAGTCGACAGACAGCAAAAATACTCAGTGAAGAAAAAGAAAAGAAGTTAGCAATGTGTGAACTCCCCTATATTCAAGACTTACGCTCGGACGAATTATGAAGTCGCATAGAGTTATAATTACCGCAGGTTATGTACAAAATTCTTTCCCTTCTCAATTCATCCGCACCGATGAATAAGTTCCATCCAGATTTACCTTAAAAAAGCTATATTCTGAATTGATATTACGATTACACTTCACGATGGGTGAATTTCAAATAATCCGACAGCTTTCATTTTTGTTTTATTCGTAGGTTTATGTCGTTCCACACACTGTAACAGATCTTTAGCCAAAGCGTGTTCAGAGATTTAAGTAATGTGATAGTTTCAGAAAGTGAAGAAGATGAAAACTGTAAGGAATATCCACCGCATTTCAACTAAGAACGGAAGATTAAACAGGGAGGATTTGGATCTGCTTCGTCGTGTTCGAGTGTTCGGTCAGCTTGTCGCAGTAATGGCTGTTCGCGGCAATAGTAGAAGAATAATATGCTAGATAATAACCGTTCTTCCAATCTTCAAAAACCAGTTACTCTTTGCAATGAAGAATGTAGGATTCCTGATGCGGCTATCTTGGGACACTAAAGACTCAACGACTAAGTTTTCCAGCACTTCGTTCATTCTGACCGATGTTTTGCACATGTCACTCCGTAAGTTTCCTGAATCCCTTATGTAAGTTCAGCTAACCTTCTCGTTGGACGTTCCCAATTCTTTGCAGGATAAATTTTCTGAGCTAGAAGACGTGGAAGTCTTTAGTACTTTGCAGCAACGTCTCACTAGCGGTCACGCGCGTATTGTGCGGTATCTTGAAAAACTGTCCTTTATAAGAATATCCTTTTCAAATCACCTCAAGTTAAAATTACTTTTTCAAAAACCGAAACCTCATCAGCAGTAGGCAGCATTGCAAACAGACTCTTTTTTATTACGCCAAATGAAGCTCAAATATCATCATAGCCACAGAAGGAGATGGTCGTTGAAGAATCCATTGTGGGATCTCCGGTAGTGTAGCATAGCATCAATTCCACATGAAGGTGATTTCATGGCGCCGCGATTCCGGGAAGTGAACACTAGATTTCCAAAAACAGCTTTGATCTTGTGAATCAATGCTACAGAGCAATCAGAATTTTATGGTAGACTTGATTTTTCATGCGACCTCTGAAGTGTCAAAATAGCGATGAGATATGGAAAAGTTGGAAATCGTATCTCATATTGACCTTTGTTGACTATGAAAAAAAAACATTCGACAATGTGAACTATATCTGTAACATCGACAAACGATTTGACGCCTTTCACATCAAAACACTCACTGATTGACACCCATCTCTAGTAGTTCTAGCGTTTGAAACTAACTAGACTTATAGATTCTTACTAGCAGATCAACATTATAAATTTGAAAAGAAATTTAGACTGTATACGATATTTTTTAGTGATTTACAGTCGCCGTCGTTAGAAATTCGGTGGAAGTGAAAGTACAGTGTAGAGTTAGCGAGTCTTTCCCATTAATTATTCTACTTAACCTAGTTTCAAAGAACACCCGTGTCACAATGAAACTTGAAAATAATAAAGCACAGAGTGGGATGGAATCGCAAGTTAATTGGATAGCAATCCATTATATATATAGTATATATATATATATATATATATATATATATATATATATATATATAATGTATATGTATATATGCATAAGGGATAAAGGAAGAAGAACAGAATTAGATGGATTATAATCC